TCTGCATTTTCTGAAATTTTGTTTTTTAGTCTCAACTTGTTGAAAAGATGAGGGAGGATGGGTGGGGCAAAGGTGGGCAGGATGGGGGAACCTCTGAGTGGAGAGTTTGGGTCAGTGAGTGGAGAGTTTGGGTCAGTGAGTGGAGAGTTTGGGTCAGTGAGTGGAGAGTTTGGGTCAGTGAGTTATTGCCCCAAGTTCTCGCTGCTGTCTCTGCTGCTGTTACTGGAAAGTTCTGTTGCTGTGTGAAGATTGAGGGTTTTAGTTTAGGAAGCCAAAGGATTTCAAGAGCATTTCCTGAATGTCCTATTGGTTGAAATGTGGGTTTTGTCATCTTTGGAACCTCCGAATCAATTGACTAAAGTGTGTACTGAAATTTACCTTTCTTAGGTTGAAACGAAAAAGAAAAAAAATCTGTGTAGACAAAGTCAGTAGAGATATCTTTGTGGCTGGCTACTATTTGTGGCCACGAGGGTAAGTCAGAACTGAAAGGTGTCTGTCTGTACACAGCTGTTCTGGGGGCAGACCTCCCTAGATAAGTCAGAACTGAAAGGTGTATGTCTGTACACAGCTGTGCTGGGGGCAGACCTCCCTAGATAAGTCACAACTGAAAGGTGTCTGTCTGTACACAGCTGTTCTTGGGGCAGACCTCCCTAGATAAGTCACAACGGAAAGGTGTATGTCTGTACACAGCTGTTCTGGGGGCAGACCTCCGTAGATAAGTGCAGAACTGAAAGGTGTCTGTCTGTACACAGCACTACTGGGGGCAGACCTCCCTAGATAAGTCACAACTGAAAGGTGTCTGTCTGTACACAGCACTACTGGGGCAGACCTCCGTAGACAAACTTTGAACAGGTCTGTGCAGGTCGTACTGGTTCTTAACTAGCTTCATCACAACTTCCTGTGTGTTTACCGTCTGATAACTGGTTCTTAACTAGCTTCATCACAACTTCCTGTGTGTTTACCGTCTGATAACTGGTTCTTAACTAGCTTCATCACAACTTCCTGTGTGTTTACCGTCTGATAACTGGTTCTTAACTAGCTTCATCACAACTTCCTGTGTGTTTACCGTCTGATAACTGGTTCTTAACTAGCTTCATCACAACTTCCTGTGTGTTTACCGTCTGAATGTTTTGTTTTTCGTTCCCTGGAGGAGTTTGTGCATGCCTGCGCCACTGTGTGGTCTACTGGCCTTTGTCTTGTTGGTTCCATAGCCCTAGTTTTTTCTTATCTGGCAGTAGGTGGGTTTTTTATCTTGTTCTTTTTTTTTGGTAGAGTATTGTGAATGTATGTCCAATTAAAGTATGTATTGATAGTTCCTTTGTATAGTATGATAAAAACTATGTACAGATAATGAAATAATTTCAGAAATTACTTAAAGGGAAAAGTATCTGTTGGTATTGTCCCATTCCCCGTATCTGTCCGTCCACCTTATTGCCCTGTGTGTACTCAATGTACATATTTGTCCACTTGTATGTACTTGGAGAAATGTGTTCTCTTTATATGCATCAAAGACTGTTTCATTAATATGTATCTATGCATGCCTTCTCTCATTAGTCAAGGCGCTCAGCCCGCAAGGTTAGATCTGTTTGTCTTGTTCTGTGTTTGCTATAGTGTGCTTGTGTAGCCCGGAACACGCTGTGCCTTCTCCAGACTGTGACCAGACGTGACACATGACACACTGGCCTGTCGTAGAATGTAGACGTGACACATGACACACTGGCCTGTCGTAGAATGTAGACGTGACACATGACACACTGGCCTGTCGTAGAATGTAGACGTGAC